GTCAATTTTGCGTTACTCAGCTGTCATGTCAACCAGGCTTTGTGTGCTGAGGTAGGAATTCATTGTCCCATGTAAGATTTGGGAAAGAGGAAGAAAAGTCAAATAGACTGAGGTTCAGCTCCTGAGTCTCAGACTCAAAAAGATTTGGAAGTGCCTTGTCAAACACTGGGTAAACTTACTACATTCATGAAAAATAAGGGAAGGTAACAAAAAGAGAGCTCCTCAGACTATTATAGTGTCTAATGAGCCAAAGTTTTGAGTCAGAACCAACCTGGAACTTTTTACTTTGATCTTCACTTTAGTTGAAAAGTTATTTTACAAGCCTGATTCTCCCAGTTGTTATTCTACTGTATATTCACAGTCCCTGCTTTACCCAGAAGCTGGTGCCTGTTCCTCAGGCTCTCAGTGTTCTTCCTAAACCACCAGCGCTTGGCTCTTAGGGCTAACTCCCTGCTTCCAGACTCCTTAATGGTTTCTGTGCCACCAAGGTTAAGCATCCAGCCCTGACACCAGAGCTACCGCGTCTCCAGTCAGTCTCTTCCCACCATGGTTCTCATCACCCACCTTCTTCAGGTGTCCCCAAACACTGCTTTTGTTTCCTGCTCCGAACACGCGCTCCAGCCCTATGGCAGAAGTGAGTGGGAAGCAAGCGTTCTCCTACCCACCGTACATTTATAAGGTTTCTTGGCCACGTGGATTTTCAAATGCACTTTAAGCGCCGAGCTTTTCCGGAAGCTTTTCCCACACTCACAGCACTCGTAGGGCTTGGCTCCTGCGTGGATCCTCAGGTGGGCACCGAGGGCTGAGCTGTGCCTGAATGTTTTTCCACACTCTTCGCACTTGTAAGGTCTCTCCCCACGGTGGATCCTCAGGTGCACGTTGAGAGCCGAGCTCCGACGGAAGCTGTCCCCGCACTCCACGCAGATGTAGGGCCGTTCCTCGGCGTGCGTGGTCTGGTGCTTGGCCAGAGTGGAGCGGTCGCTGCACCTCCGGCCACACTCGGCACACTGGTAGGGGCTGGGCAGGAGGCCGCCGTGGTACATGGGCAAGGCCTTCCCCCCATGGATCCGGCGATGAGTGGTGAGCGCCGAGCTCTGGCTAAAGCCCTTCCCACACACGGGGCACTTGTAGGGCTTCTCGCCCGTGTGTGTTCGCATGTGGGTCACCAGCGAGGAGCTCTGCCGGAAGGTTTTCCCACACTCGGTGCACTCATATGGTTTCTCTCCCGTGTGGATCCTCTGATGCCGAATGATGGCTGAGCTGTCCCGGAAACGCTTCCCGCACTCCTGACACTTGTGGGGCTTCTCTCCGGTGTGGACTCTCCGGTGTATGATCAGGGAGGAGCGGTCACTGAAGCTTTTCTCACACCGGGGGCAATTAAAGGGTTTCTCGCCCTTGTGGCTTCGCTGGTGGACAATGAGATGCGAGTTCTGGCTGAAGCTCTTCCCGCAATCGTTGCACTGGTAGTGTCTCTCTCCTGTGTGGGTCCGCTGGTGCCTGATCACATTAGACCTCTGGCTGAAGGTCTTCTCACACTCGTTGCACTGGTAGGGCTTCTCACCAGTGTGGATACGCTGGTGTTTGATCAGGTCCGAGTTGCGGGTGAAACTCTTCCCACATTCGGAGCAGATGAAGGGTTTCTCTGCCAGGTGGATCCTCTGGTGCTGGCTCAGGTACGAGCTCCGGCTGAAGCTCTTCCCGCACTCGGGGCACTCGTAGGTTTTCTCCACTACTTGCTGAATCCAAATGGCACCGTTCCCACACATGGGTGGGTCTGGCTTGTCCCCGGCAAGGATAACCTTGCTGATGTGGGCTTTACCACTGTCCTCGCACTCCCAGACTTCCATCCCACAGGGAGTTACCATTCCCCGTCTCTTTCCAAAAGACATCTCCACCTCTCTTTCTGTCTCCAGTTCCTGCTTGTGGTCCTGTCTTTGATCAGTGTCCTGGAGGGTATCTCCTGTGAGCTTTCTGGAGGGGAAGAGATGCAGTTCAGCTCTCACAGGACTTTCCTGATGAAGCTTGCCCTTCTGTGTGTCACTCATGGTCCTGTCACCTGCTGGAGTGAACAGAGGAACCAGCAATAAATAATCCCCCACGCTTCTCTGAGGGAGAAGTCCAAACAGGGCAACTGCAGAGACCTACTGCACTTCAGCCGCCATTAACCAACAGTGCAGGAGCCAGCCCCTCGGTATCTTCCCTGGGCAGAGTGAGGGCATGGAGACCGAGGAGCGCAGGAAGGGAGTGTGACCCAAGGATGGGCGGTCACTGTGGCACAGATTGCAAAGAGGATCCTCTGTCATAAAGTTACAGCCCTAAAGGACAAAACCTGTCACTTGCTTGTTCTCAAAGTTCCCATGTCTAGTGAGGTTAGAGGAACATCATTACTGCTCTCCTCAATCAACCCCTACCGTAGCTACTTCTCCTCCCATTGCCTATGAATCACTGCTCTTCTTCCAGCATTCCCATGCTTAATCAAGGAAGGAAGCAGCCAACACCACAGAGCTGGTGCTAGACTAGACTATTTTCTTTCTTCTTTCCAGTCATAGCCCTTTTCCTTAAAAAGAAAGCCCTACATATTCTGCAGCAAATTGTATCTAAATTTTGTCTACAGAACAGATAGGCAAGTGAGTGGAATGATAAACTGTTTTATTAGTGAAGCATGGAAATTGGAAATTAACATTTAGACTGAAAGATTTAGAGGCTCCTGATTTTTTATTATTTATAGTCATACGCAGAACACGCCTTGCAAATGGATCCTGGCACGTGAGGTAAGCTGATTAGCTGGACAGGACTGCTTATGGAGCTAACATCGTTCTCTTACATGTGGGAAGTCCTAATATGAGATGAATGCAGCAGGATAAACCCCTTGAGTTTTGTTTTGGGTGATTGGCTGATTTTGGAAGACAACACTATGCTGGTTATACTGATTTCCATGGGGCATGCACCCCAAGGCAGCAAAATGATCAATAAAACATTAAAAATACTGTCAGCATGTAAGGAAGAAAAAGCCACACTTTGGTTAGTTATGCCTTCTAACATTCTGAGTATACACAGGATTTTATTTCATTTTGGATAGGCTGTTTTTGAAAAGGTATTAGATTCCCCAGTACAATAAAGTTTCATCTTTATTGTACCTTGCCAATGAATTGTTTTTGAAAGCAGAATCTATATAGTACAGGAGCAGAAGAGGCAGGATAAGTGCGGCGTGTGCAGCACAGTACATGCCAAATTTTCAGCATTCAGCTCTTTTCTTCCCTTCCCAGACATGCTCTATTCAATTTCTCACCTTGCGAGCAATCTCTCCACAGTCGCTGCTTAGCTGCTTCTGGCCACAAAGCTGTTTCTCTTCACTCCATCCAGGAGGTTAAAGCCAAGTCAGGGACTGCAGATCCTGCCCAGAGGAAAGAAAACGGATGTCATAAATACCCGTCATAGTAGCAGTGTTGTAGAGTGAGATTACAGGAGAATAAGTATTTGGGAGACAAAAGCAAACAGAGCAAAGTGACACCCAGAAACACTGAGTCAGGTTCACCACCTGTTTTGCCACAGACACTGTGACACCACTGTTCGGGTCCAATAACCAGGGCCAGCTCACGTAGCGAAGAAGGGGTCAACTACAGATGCTGAGGAGAGCTGCCTGCCAGCTCGCTGCCCTCTCATGAGCGTTTGGATGTTCTTCCTGCTGCACTTCCGTATCAAAAATGCCTCCTACTGAGTTTTGTGTAAGAATATACTGACTCTTCAAACCATTTTCTCTCCATCACCTTTCTTCCTAGTAAACTAAATGGGAACATAATGTAGCTAAGGCAGTTCTGTTCTGCAGGCGGAGGAAAAATGCCGCCTTCACAATTGGGCTGCCTTCTGCATCTGGAGTCCCGTTTATTGCCTTTACCAAAGGAGTATTTTCCTTGGATGCTCTCAGTGGCCCAGCCAGGCACACACAGGTCCGGGTGAGGGAAGAGATTTTTGGTCTGCTCACATGTTATCGACAGGTGCAGTCCGAAGGCAGAATTTCCTGTCCTGTGCTCCATAAAATGGCAATTTGACTGCCTCGTTCCAGATGGGAGTTTACAGGGCTGGCAGCGAGCAGAAAAACAACAGTTGAGCACACCTGTTTATGCATGAACACCGAGGTGATTTAGTCAGCCGACATGCAATCCCACTTCCCAGGGACCTCTTTTCAGAGCAGAAGTACGCTGCGCAGGAGTGGAGTTTGTGGGGTAGAAAATTAGGTCACCCATTTAGCTTTAGCACCACATTTGTGCAGTGGTATTTGTACAGAGGCATTTTAAGATGCTGAGGGCGCAGTGACATCCTAGAAATGCTTAAAAACTGCACGTGTGAATGCCAGCTCTGCAATGGCATTGCACCATTTTGGTCACATGGATTCCCACTAGGAACAAGAATAAAATTACTCATGACTGGGTGTTCGTAAGAAAAAGAAGTGTAAACCAGCATCTTTTCCTTCCGAAATGAGAAACAGACTGAACTGGCTGCGCAGTGGTATACTGGAGGAGGTATCATGCCAGAGGTGGGTTGCCCATCCCTCCCGAGGGCAGAGGGAAGACTTCCCCACCTGCATAATGCCACCGCGATAAAAGAAGGCCCCTGATAAAATGGAGAGCTGACATTTTGTTGGCTCTGCCTCTGCCTGGAGTCACGTCCCTCCATTGCCTCCTCCACAGTGGATTTGGTGGGCATCACCGCTTGGGGAGAGGCTGTTTCCAGTCCTCCCGGCAGCAGGCAGCGGCTGCAGGCTCTGATCCCAAGTAAGATGGCCTGTGCCCAAACTCAGGCAGGAGAGGACATGCAGGGAGGCGTGGCAGGAGGAAGGGACAGTGGGAACACAGGTGTTTGTGACGCCAGCAACCACGCCGCCTGCCCCAGCTCTGCTCGGAGAATCTGGAGGAGGACACGGGCGGGCGGGCAGAGCCGCGGAGGTGACACTCCGGCAGCGCAGGAGGCCCCAGGCTGTTACAAGCGCGGCTCACGGCGCCATGTCGGCCATGTGGGCTTGTCTGGTTCTGTCTGGTGAGTAGGAAATATCTCTCCTTCAAGCTGGGGAGTCTGACCAGGCTGCTCTTCACCGCTTCCCATCGCTCCTCAGCTTTGGCAATTTGGAGGCGAGAGGAAGAGATGGGAGCACCCTTGAACACCCCAGGTGCAAAGATTTCAGGTGCTTAAAATTTTGCCAGTCTCCAGCCATTGGAGCTGGTATTTTATTCCTCAGGGAGGGCCGGAAAGTAACCAAGGAGCTGGGGAGAAGGACTTGGAGCTGGACGCAGTGGGCAGAGGCTGGAGCAGAGGTGGAGGCTGGCGACGTAATGATGGGGACAGCTGAGCGCGTAAACCAGACACAAGCGCAAACACAGAGATCTGGTCGTGGCCCAGAAGGCAAAAAGGGAAGAGCTAGCCAGGTGAAGTGACAGGGCAGGCAGGAGAAAGAGGTCTGAGAGAGGACCTGCATTAAAGACAAACAGAAAGGTATAGGGATGGAAGACATGCATAGAAAGGCCAGGTTGCTGTGGCCACATCCTGGTGGGAGACCACGGAGGGGTCCCATATCCCCCAGTCTCCTCACTCCCCTGCTTTCTGCAAACCTGCACGCAGTCCCCTGGCAAAGCATGGTGCTCTCGTCTCATACTGCCTGATCGAGTGCTCGATAACCCCCACTGTCCTCTCGGGGGAGAAAGTTACACGCTTCTGTTTGCATCTGCAGACACATAGGTGCTAGTAAGATAGAAGCCACGAGGAAGTTTTTAAGTCTTTTTTTACCCAAAGGGGAAAAAAAACCACATCTTGGGTTAAGAGACTATTACAGAGGTTGCAAAGTCAACCTCTGAGCATGCCATTTTACAACCCGAGATTCGTTACCCCCGTGCATGGATGTAGTAACCCAGCTCTCTAATTACCTGGCTTTTTCACATGGGTTTTGGCTTCTTTAGCTCCTGGATGGACACCACCTTTCTAATAAGCTGCTATTCAGTCTGTTGTGTCACGCTTATTGTTCAGTGTTTGACACTCCGATTTATTTACTGATCCCATTTGAATTCTGCTATAGATAGAATGACTCATTTCCTCATGAACTTTTTACATACTCTATCTTTTAGTCCTTCACAGCTATTAATTGGATTATAGTGATTTTGCAAATGGCAAAATGACGGCAGAGAGGAATTAAAGTCAAAAACATCCTCTACTTTTAGAATCTGAGATATCTCAGCCCTGTTTTCTCAGAGTACGTATGCTAATGTAGCACACACGTGCCATTCAAAGACACCACACACAGACTCCAAAACTGCAAGAGAGCTCAGCCTTCCCGTAAATGGCAACCCACAAGGTAAGGAAAATGCCATTAATAACACGCTAAGAAACGTGGTACTTGCCTCTGTGGTGTAGCCAGGAATAAAACCTTCTTCTTGGAAGGGTATCCACAAAACTACCCTTGCCCTTCCAGCATCTATTGACTCATTCTTCCATGCACCTTCCAAGCTGTGGGAAACGAGGCAGATATCCTGAATATACTAAGTGCCTCACCCCAGCAACTGATTCCCTGCCAGAGCAGGTCCAGTCTCTACGCTGAAGGAGCTGCAAGTCCAAAGGAAAGGAGAGTAGGTTGCTGTGTACTTGAACAATGTATAAAAAGCATATGTGAGAGGAGGTGAAATTAAGACTGCACATGAAGCTTTTATCTGGACACATCTAACCTCCAAATGTTTGATTTCATAATGATCTTTACAGGGAAGAACTGGCTTTAAGTTTTGTATAAGGGTTCAGTGAATGCTTGGACCATTGTAAGGGCATACACATATCCACTGGGGTACGTTCCAGGAACTCAAGGGGTCTGGATCCATTTACCCAGAGGAAGAGAATTAGCAGAGGCTAAAATCTTGAAAGGAAACAGTCTCCTTGCTCCAGCCCTGATAGCAAAGCTACATTCCCAGTTTCAGACATGACTTCCAAGACATTTCTCACAGTTCAAGATTTGAATCTCCAGAACTTTGGTCAAGATCCCTCAGCCATGTACTGTCTCCAAAATCCTACACTCCTTTCAACATGGACAGAACAGGTTTTCCTCAGGTCTAGACCCCCATCTTGAGCCTGTTACTGCATTTCCCATGTGCTGGATCCTGCACTCAGAGAAGGCAAGAGAGATCTGGGTTCAGCCGTCCAGCTCTTCTCAGTGTGCTGTGGTTAGCATTCCTGTTTCCTTCTGACTCTCTGCATGTTCTTTTTCACCAGTGCTCTTGGGTTGGGGCTGCATAGCCGGCCCTTCAGGTGGGAAGGCGCAGCAGCTGGGAACGCCACTCTCTGACCAGGAGTACCGTCAGTTCTTCAGGTTCCTCCGGCCTGCCCACCGTGCCAGCTCTGCCTGCCTCCTTCGTGCGCTGTACGGCTGCCAGAACCCCCTGGTCCAGAGACTGGACGAGTACGAAAACCACGGAGTCGTCCCTGAGGGTAAAGCCAACCGTGACTCCCAAGGGCAGGCAGATGGATGGAGATCCTGCACGGCCAGCCCTGGACCTGATTGCTGGGAGGGGACAGAGACTCGTGAGATGGGGAGGGGAGCAGGTGGGTAGGAATCTTGCAGCGAGGAGAAAACATCTGCTCGTGAGCATCCTTCCTCGCACTTGATCACACCTACATGTGTCCCTAGGGCCAGCGTCCTCTCATGCCTTGGGTCATGGAGATGACCAAGAAGCGGTGGAGATTCTCACTGACGTTCAGGGAGGCCCCCAAATAGCATGGGGGTTTTCAGGGAGGCATGTCATTTGGCAGTGAAGTTTTTGCTGAGAGCTGATGGGACCCCAGCACTGCAGTTTATCACTGAGTATGTGTCTTTATTTGCCTCTTTCTAGGGCCCATATGCTCCGAACTGCGAGGAGCTCCTTTCTTCCCTGACTTCTGCACCTTTTCTTTTTATCGCTGTACTAGGAAAAGGTACTTCATTAAGGTGAGTTATTTAGCTGTTTCCTGAAGACCATGCTGTGTTCTGGGCAATGATCAGGCAAAAGGGAGAGCCCTGAAAATGAAGAAGAGGGAAAACAGGAGGCTAAAAGACAGGGATGATAGAAGAGAGCAATGGGCAGCCCACCTTCCAGGGGCACTTGCACCAAGCTGACTAGCTTACACAGATGGCACTTACAGCCACTTGCCAAAAAGGAGACTTTGGGGAAGGTCTTCTTGAAGAAAATGAACCTCTGAGGACCACCTTAGCCCTTATCTCCAGGTCTCACTCCCAAGCAGGACGAGACAATCTAGGCTACTGCAGGAGAAAGGGTGATTCATGGGAAGGAAAGTAAAGAGAAAGACAACTGGGAGTCACGGGAAGAGACTTATGGAGAGACTTGACAAGGAAAAGAGATAAAGGTTTCTCTCGTGTCTTGGAGGCATCTTTGTAGAGAATGGGAAAGATTGGATTGTGAGACGAGTGCTCACCCCACAGAACAGAGGGGTGGCTAGGTGCCTGATCCCCAGGCCCGCCGCCTCCACAGAGGTGTGTTTTCTCTTCCAGAGGACTGCATGCCCAGGAGAGACTAAGGCACGAGCCTTCAACGACATGACCATGAGCACTGATGCCATGTTGTCCGGCATCTTCAGTCCCCAGACCCTTTTTCCCATGTCTCCCACAACTGCCCAGCCAGCCAGTGGCCAGCAGCAAGGACAGCTGCCCACCAGTGACATCCAAGATCTCCTCCTGAGGCTACAAGATACCCATGTGCAGAGTTCACTGCAGACACTGCAGCAGTTGTTGAGCATGGGGAAGGCAGTGGAGGAGGAAGAATTGCAGGCTGCTGCCCTGAAGCTGCTGGTGGCCCTCAACAATGCAAGTGTCTCAGTGGTCAACCAGCACTGATACAGGGCACAGAAGAGAGAAGTGAGCAGCAGAGGAGGATCAGCCATTGTGGCTCTTCTACACGGTGTCGAGTCAGACACGGTGTCTTGGGGATGTACGGGAAGACAGAAACAAGAGGAGTCCTCCTTCCTAGGTCTGAGACATTGTCAAGGTTGGCAGTGCTTCCCCAGGCCAACAGTGTGGGGACCAAGGGAAAAAGTCATCTTCTCCAAGTGCATGTGAAATGGCATTGCTCAGGATTCAAAGAGAAAGATGTTTTCCTCTCGGCTGTACGGAAGAGATACTGTCCTCTGGCACACAAACTGTTCAGCTGCTATGGTTTAATTTGGGAGATGCCTATTATTGAACGAGGCAAGATGGAAAAATAGCTCATTTTTCCTGCTTGGGCTTTTACCACCACCACTAGCTCTCTGTCCTGCGCAGAGAGATGGGATTTGTTGTGTCAGTCAATGAATATCATGGCAGAACACTAGCCTCTCTTCATCAAGTGTAGGTGTTTCTGCTCAGAAGCACTGAGGGAAGAATCTTCTTTGGAAGTATGTGTGTGAATATACATACACATATACACAAGAGGGGCTCTCTAAATGCAGGAAGGCCTTACCCTGCAAGGGAACTGCTGGTCTAGCATTCTCCTTGTATTGGCGTTTGCACGTGGTTGTCATCTACTTCTGACATAGATGCTATGGAACACACGGGGTAAATACTCATATTAACAAGCTCCTCTGTCTCTCTCAGAAAACAAGTCTGATTTACAGGAACTTTGGCTTGAAGTGCTGTTCCTTTTATGAACACTGGACATACCTGTAGGTAAAACCATGTAAAGCCATCTGGAGCCAGCACTTGCTGCTAAAAGCAGAGTGGAAACTTTTCAGGAACCAGCTCTGGTTTTCGGCGTCTCCACTCAGAACGAGTTTAGAGCTACCTCAAACCTACTCTAAACTCCAGTGGCTGGTTTCAGCTTTTAAGAGACTTCCATTAAAGTGAGAATCCCCTACTCGCCCTTCCTCCCCACAGGCCTTCTTGTAATCTATTCCACCAAGGGCTATGAGGAGAAAGGAGTCAAAGGCAACTCTCCCTGGGGATGGACCACACCAAGCATATTCCCACGGAGAGGGTCGGGGATGTCTGCGTTCCCTTTACTGTGCCTAAGTGACACAAACACACTTAAGTGAGATATAGGCTCTGCCCCTATCCATTGAAGGAAGGCCTTAGAAGAAAAGCTTCTCAGAAGAAGATCTCAAAATTACCTGTCCTCCATTGGTCCTGGGAAGCGTCATCTTCCCCAAGGCTGAAGGCAGGTCACGCACGGGAAACACGCAAGCCCTTGACCAAGAGCGCTTGCTTGCTTTCATGATGGACTGCCAACACACAGTCCTTACTGGGTGGGATCCCTAACAAAACGCAGCCTGCCCTGGCCTCACCCTGGCACACCAGCTCCTTCTCTTCCGCCTACCAAGAGCC